ATATGGCAGTGGACTGTAAATGCAGATTTATTTTAAAATTTCAAGATGCTAAATCAAAAAGTTGTTTAAAAAGATTTTCATGATAATTACAAGTTTATGTTACACAACAACAGAAAGGAGGCAACAAAAATTGATCTTTTAGTATTAGGTAAATACGTATGTTTGGCAACATGGGTCAAAGTTGGGACATAAAATTAAAACAAAAACTAAATAAAAAATAAATCTTCCAAATACATTTACAGTAAAGTATATTATATTCTTCATCAGTTTTTTGGTTACGTAAATGACAGCATCTTTATTTTTCTGTAACAAAAACTCTGGACACCCTGAGTCTCCTAAAATATCAACCTGTATTTTTGTCTTGTACGCACAGAGACACACAAAGAGAAATGGATTTGTGCATTTCATCAATGAAACTCATTCATCCTCCTCAAAACTCTTCTCTTTCTTAGGACAAAAATATTGTCTGAAATAAAACGTTTCATTTTGTTTTTGTTTACCTTTCGCTCTCACCGGTTTAGTTAAAAAAGGCTTTCTTATCCACATTTGAGCTCCTTCTTGTTTTTAAAGCCGTTATTTCCAACTTGCCGTGGGGCTGGATATTGCCATTTAGAACAACCAAGTAAAACATATCTAAATATATGGCTATTCAGATTTGTTATATAATCACAACATCTAGACACCGTTCTGCACAGAGCCGAATGTTTAACAATCACAGCGTGCAACATTCACTCACAAGAGAATAAAACACAACATAAACAGAGTGAAATGTTAACAATAAAAACAGAATAAAGGAGACATTAAACACATGAAAAACAGTTTTATTAACCCTGAGTGCAATGTGTACGGCAGGAGCTGGGAAGTGAAAATGCAATATGGATTGTCTTGTTAGCGTCCCTTATAGAAAGAACGGGGTAGAGGCAGCGGGAGTTTGTTGCCCTCATGTCACTGAGGAAAAACTGTCTTGTAATCTAAATGCTCTGTACTTATATAGCGCCTTTCTATCTTATCAAGACACTCAAAGCTCTTTTCGTTATAATCTGTGTCCTCATTTATCCATTTAAACAGCACTCTACTAGATCTATAAAGCTAATTGAACAAATCACTCTAAGGAGACTAATCAGTGCTTTATCACACGGGACACACATCGGAGGCAATTAAGGGTTCAGTGTCTTGCCCAGTGACACGTCAGTATGTGACTGCTGGTGGATTTGAACCCACAACTCTTGCATTGGAGGACGACTGCTCTAACCACTCAGCCGCCCTGCATCCCTGAATCTGGAGATTCTGGCACTGCTGCTCCTCAACCTTCTACCAGAGGGTACGAGTGAGGGTGAGAGGGGTCTAGCACGATTTTTGTAGTTTTCCTCACACATTTGTCTTTGTACCTGTCTGCTAGGGCTTAGTGGGGTGCCGATTATCTTCTCTGCACCTCCAATCAATCTCTGCAGGGGTTTCCTGTCTGCAGAAGAGCAGCTACAGTAATGCAGCAAAATGTAATGCGATGTACTGTAAAGTATCGTACAGGCAGTAACGCAGTGAGTCAGGGTGTTTTTTTAATAGCCCCCCTTTAGAATCTGCCCATGAGGAAGGGGAAAATGCTTTTTTTTCAATCTTTGCAAGAAGTGATGGCACTGCTGGGTTCTGTTGGTGAGAGCAGTGACTCCTGTACAGAAGCTTGGCTCAAACATCTCAACATCTCAACATGGAGGCTGCACAGCTGCAGAAAGAAAAGCTTTGCAGAGAGTGGTGAAGGCTGCACAGAAATCTGTTGGAATCAGTCTCCCCACCATCACAGACATCTACACCTCCAGATGCAGGAAGAGGGCCACCTGCATCATGAAGGACCCCACCCACCCAGCACACACACTTTTGCCCCACTCCCCTCAGGAAGGAGGTTAAGGAGCATT